CTTCTTTAACAGGGGCAGCTTAACATCTTTGTGAATATTACAATTAGTCACATACCAGGCTGCACATGTAATCATGCTGAGCGCCTTGTTCTGGTATCGCTGCATAATTTCGATATTTGAATTACTTGCAGTATCCCATAACTACAATGCGTAGGTCCATATTGGCTTCAGTACGGCCTTATATAGCCTTAATTTGTTCTCAAGACTAAGTTCAGAACGTTGTAGATACACTGGTGTGGAATGATGGGAAGCAATAAAACTTTTAAATACTTAGTTAGTTTTTCAAGTAAAAGCCTTTGAAAAGAAAGTTAAAGTTATTCAACTTGAAAAGTTGAAGCATTTCTTGAGCAATAACTGCATAGAAAACGGTTTAGAACAAATAAAATATTAATACAATTATATAATTCGGCTAAAAACCGAAATAAAATTGTTAATTAATCTCGCTTTCCGTTAGTCAAAGTTGCAAATAAATAGTAATTTCATTTGCATCTAGCAATATAGCTGCACTCCAAACATCCGCATTTGCACATTGGTCGTTCGCCTGCTGGGCTCAATTAGCAAGAAAATTAACAATGCCGTATCCTTGATCTACTGCAGGACGCAGTTTGAGCGACAAGTATTTTTTAGCTGGGCTCTGATTTGTGGTGCTTTACAAGCTCGTAAAACGTTGGCAACTGGAACCAAAGGGTGCGGATACAGATGCGGATGCGGATGAGGATGCAGTGTCCAGCAAGCAAGCAGACAGACTGGCTGTGTGAGTATGTATGGGACTGAGTGTTGTGTGTGCCAGAAGTCATAAGTGTGTGTGCGTCACTTGCCACACGACGCATCGCTTATTTATGCGAGTGCATTTTTATTTAAATTTAATTGACATTTGTATCGTATTGGCTTTTGTTTATGGCCCATACATCATTGAGATGATGTCAGTTTTAGCCTTTATTGGCGATTGCCTTCTGCATTGCCAGTTATAATGCTATGCCATGTGGCCACAATGCCACTAATTCCAAAATTATGATTATGATTGCTCTCTCAGTTCGATTGCTGTGTATTCGCAGTAAAAACATGCGAAGAGTGAGGTCATGAACATCAAAAACATTTGAAGTTTCTTTTGATTTTTTTAAACTTGAAGCTGCCAAGTAAAGTCATCAAAAACCATCTCACGAATATATAACATATAAAGCAAGTAGGAAAGCTCTTCTGATATGATATTATTCCCATAATTATGCACTTCTTTTATATATACATTACAAACTACACCTGCCTACACACATACACCCACACGCCAGAGCGCGTCCTCTCGTTACTGCGCAGCTTCCGCAGCGACTACGCTTGGGCTGTGCAAAGGTCTTTACAATGAGTAATTAATTGTGGAACAACTTTTGATCTAGGTAGATTTTCTTTATCAAATTAGCCGAACTTTATAGTGACATCTGCATATGATTAAAGCACATCTTTCCAGTAGAAATACAAAATACGCGTAAACATAATGATTAGGATTTTTATCGATCATAAGGAAATGGGATGAGTTATCGAAAAACAATGATAAACTCTTACTGCATGTGGTATGCACGACTATACAAATAAACTGTCAAGTCTTTTACGTTGGTGGTTTACTTAAGCATTGCATTTATACGGTCGACCCAATGAAGTATATATAAACTTAAAGCGGTCTGTGACGCCTCCAACTGTCTGTTACATACAATATCAAAAAGCCATTACGCCATGAATTCCATATATGAGTATTTAAAATACAATACAGATGAAACCTGTAAAAGTTATTTTTGGCAATTTATTAAACAGTTCACACAAAGAAAAGTTCACGCAGATTAAATTGAAATCAGCTTGCTGGATAAAGAAGTCTTCAAAAAACACGCATGGGTATATATCGAATACTAGTTATAAATAGTGTATATAAATATTGATTTTTGTTAAGCGCAGTAGATGGTTAATAGAACCGTTACTAAGTCTGGGGACGTAAATTGATGTTTAATTCTATACGCGGCAGTAACAGCAACAAAATGGCATATCGAAACAGAAACTTTTTAGCTAATGCGCTGGCAAACACGCATGCGACGCCCAGCACTCGGGCCAGCATATAACATTTGGTAATTGAGGCTGCCGCAGTTTTTAGTGTCGTGATAAATTCAAATGCCACTGCGTTGCATTTACAGGTACTGCTTCAATTGCATTGCATGACTCGACAGTCATACCACAATGGCCTGCCAGGGTTGCCACCCAGCCCAACAACCAGCCATCCGGCAACACACACGTGCCAGCGCCCTCGCATAGATGGCCCCGAAGACGGCCAAACGTGTCCTTGAGCGCACTTTTCTGCCACTTGCCTTCTATTTGTAATTTTAACGAGCTTCCCGCCTTTCTTTTTTCCTTGTATCCTTACCCATTGAAATTGGGAAGTGAGGCCATACGGGTTTAGTGTATTCATAAGTCAGGATAAAAAGTCCTGACGCAGCTGAGCTGATTTTTTCTTTTCAAATCTACATTGAAACCTCTTTTTTTAGAAAGCGATAATTATCGATTCCCAAAAAAAGAGCCTTGTCGAAGACCCTTATATGGCGTAACAAACTATAATGTTTTTCTTATGTCTCTATTAATTATTAGAAAAATTATTAAGTCCACAACTGCAACTAAATGAATCGATAAATATTGATTTTAAAGACCACTACATAACACCATGAACTAATCCCTTATTATTATGCCTGCAATAACTAACCTATAACTCTGCTTTCGGTACTAGCTTATAAATAACAAATGATCGAATGTAGAGTCTCAGACATAATAAGAAGTTTCCTGTCAACAAGTAATTAATTATCGATTGTCTGCCTCAATTTTCAAAGGAATCTTTTTTGAGAAGATCGCATAAGCTTAATTTTTCAAGCCATTCCCAAACAGGGTATATCAAAGTCTAGACTTCAGGTTCGAGCACGCCAACTTGTTGTTGGGTTGCTGCTGCTGTTTTGCTTACTGTTTGCAAAGCCCAACGAGTGTCGAGCACTTGTGCAACATTTTGCTGTACAAACTCAAAGAAAGGCCCGTCCTACGCTATAGTTGTTGGAATTTTTCTTTTCGACTTGCAAGTTTTTGCGCTGCGCGTCTCAAAAGAAAATGAATTTCCTTTGGCATTTCCTTGTCTTACTGTGCATTTCAGAAGATTTGATAGAAAGCCACTTGCATATTTTTGTTCAGCATGTGCAACAATTTCCGACGGAAGCGCTCAAAACTTTTGCAGGTATTCAAGTGGCCCCGTAGCCAATACTTGAGCAAGTTCTGCATCAATCTCTCGCAGTTATTTAGAGCTAGAACAGTCTAAATATTTATTAATATATGTAGGAAATAGATATCATATATTTTTACATCTCTTTCGTTTTAAATTAAAAATCTAAATTTTAAAAATCTAAAATTTAACAAATATTTAAATCCAACGGACTCAATAACGAAGCAAACTGCAAAGAGAAAACTACAAATACCTCACACTCCATATAGGGGCATGAGTGGCATAAGACTGTCGTGTTTGACATGAAATACGATTTTGTATTTACCTTAACAGCAATTTGCTTTCAGTGGCAGCAGCTCCTACGACGAGCCTACTTAAATTATGTAAGCATTCCAGTCGACTAATTTATGATGACAAGCGCCTTGTTCCACATTACAATTTCTGAATACAATTGAAGGTCAACATTTCAGAAGGAAACTTTGTACAAGTCCAGAAAATCCGAAAAGTGGAAAAATCCGTGAAACGAATAACTTCAAAATGACATACTAAGCTAATATACTAACTATCTCTAGCTATCACAATTTTCAAGCTCAGGACAATATTCAAATAAACTATTTCTAAGCTTTCACCGGTTGCAAATTAGCTAATTAACACCTGACAATTTAAACACGATTCAATCGCAATTGCTATTCTTATGTGTGCACATTTATAGGAAAATTGCATAATAATTTTATGCTACTTTAACTATTTTAATCAAATTTTCCGCATGGAATCTTTCTATTGGAATATGTTGATAGCTTAGGAAAAATGCAAACTCTCTCAGATATTGGTAATAATTACAACTGAACTTCAATTTGAATAATTTGGATACATTTTAAGCTGCGCCCGAAATAAAGCAAACATCAAATTAGTAGAATAAATACATGAAACTGAAAGTAAATTTAAAAAAATTAAACTCCTAAGCTGTACAAGATATGATTCAATAACTGAACTTTAATAATGTTTTAATCGTTTAAATTTAAACGGGAAAAGCCATCGATTATTTAAAACAAACTAGATCCGCGCGTGCTTTACAGAGACCCACAAAACTACTGACTCTGCTCGTCGTACTGAACGTGATTCGTTGACGCCAACTCAGGGCGTGGCTATTCCGATTTCTCTATATAGTGTTTTTTAAAAATGTAAATATATAGTGAGCGCTATTGGTGTTAGAGAAATTTAAAAAATATACCTGCAAGTATAACCCGCACCCAAAAACATATAGATGATATATCTGAGCCCACAGGCACGTGGCAAACCGCTAGAATCGAAATATTCAATTCATCAAAATGTATATATATATTTCAGAAGAAATGGTGGTGGATAGCCGCTAGATATTTCACCCAATTCTAACACCAAGAAGGATAATATATATATATATGTCCCAAATTTTATGTTAGAAAAATCGATACAACAACAAATGTTGCATAAGTAATGAAAAGGCGCCAGCTGAATAGCGATTAGCGCTAATGCAACTTAGCTGATTTCGGGTCTATAGCAGCTATAAATGATACGCTTATTGATGTCTTTTTGATATCACAAAGTTACTTCCACTTGCCATTATAATTTAAGATTCACAATTATCACCTAAGCCAGAGAGAGCAAGACCAATTGGCAGATCTCACACGTTATAGAGCTTCAGTTAAACATTGTGATTAAACATAAAAATTTGCTTTGTTTATCCTCTAGACATAAATATATATTGTGTTAAACCCCAATTGTCAAATACGTCTGACATAATTACGAAAAGGCTAAGCTAAATGGATATTTTTATTTTCTTTGACCACTTTTGCTTCAAAAAAAAAAACAAAAACGCACATTGCAGTTATTCTTTGAGATAAATTTAAACAAAATTATGTATACTACGTAGATTTATTATAGGAGAACAGCATAAAATACCATGGACCAACCCATTTGGCAAAAAAGGTTCACAAAAGGTAAATACCAACAACAGCTAATTTGTTTGTGAAAATATTTTATTATGTTTGACCACGCCCCCTCCCGGATAGTCTGTTTCTTACCGATGCGCATTGTTGTCACTACCATGGGATTCTTTGCGCTAGTCTGCGCTTTTACAAATCGTGTCTCAATCGCATTTGTTATCATCGAGCTGGCTGTACCCAAAAATCGTACGGATTCGAAAAGCAGCGGAATTTGTCCCCCGGAATCAGATCTGACCAAGGAAAAAATGCAAGTACGTTAAGTCAATATTATTACGCTGCATTATATATTAAAGACGACACGATCATAGGATAGAAATAAACAAGACTGGTCTGAGGAGCATCAGGGCTTCATTTTGGGCAGTTTCTTTATCGGTTACTTAATCGCTCACGTCCCTGGTGGCGTATTGTCTGACAAATTTGGATCCAAATGGGTCTTGAGTATCTCTTTGTTACTCTCCGCCCTGTGCACTATATTCACTCCGGTAACAATAAATTTGTTCAACCAATCAAGTCTGATAATAATCCGTATTTTAATGGGAATGGCACAAGGGCCACTTTTTCCGGCTCTGGCTTCACTACTGTCCCATTGGGTGCCACCGAAAGAGCGCTCAACATTAGGCGCCTTATGTTACAGTGGAGTTAGCGTCGGTATCGTTGCTAGCAACCTTGGCTCTGGTTTCATTATACATTACTTTACCTGGGCGCTCTGTCTCATCATTTTTGGTGCTGCCACTTTCTGCTGGATGATCGTATTTGTTAGTATTAATATATCTACATCCTAATCCCACTTCCACATTTATGACTTTTAATGCAGATCTTAATATGCGCAAGCACACCAGACAAGCATCTATGCATCAGAAAAGGGGAGAAGGATTATCTTAAGAAGCATATATCAATGCAGACAGAAAGTCTGACAATTCCGTGGCATAAAATATTATTCAGTAAGGCATTAATTGCATTAGCCATTTCCCAAATAGGTCACGACTGGGCTTTCTGCCTGATCGTCAGTTACCTGCCCAAATATATGGCCGATGTCCTGCAGTTTTCAATACTCTCCAATGGCCTTTGGACCTCCTTGCCATTTGTTGCATTGTGGTTTAGTTCGCTCATTTGTGGCTTTCTGGCCGATTGGCTAATACGCACAGGAACAATGTCGATCACTGTGGAACGAAAAGTATTCACGTTCATCAGTGAGTCTAACGTACATGGTCTCGCATGGTCGAGATTTTTATTAGAGCGAATATAATTATATATAATAATTTTATATATAATAATTTTTTATATAATAATTTTATGCACTTAGGCGCCTTTGGACCTGGAGCGTTCATGGTCATAGCCTCGTATGTCGAATGCCGCAAGAGTTTGGCTGTGCTATTTTTCACACTTTCAATGTTTATGATGGGTCCATTCTATGCTGGCCAAAAGCTGACACCTATTGACATGTCCCCCACTTATGCGGGAATTCTTACGGCCATCTGTAATGGAGCGGGTGCAGTTTCCGGTTTGCTATGTCCTTCCATTATTGGTATTATGACACCCGATGTAAGTCGAATATGTCGATAATTTAGTTACTTCTTATATAGAACGAGATAGAGAGCCATATAATCATATAACTATTTTATTGCAGAGGACAACGGGACAATGGCGATATGTATTCTGGTTAAGCTTTGCTATCTCGGTCTCTTCTGCCATAGTATTTGCGCTGTGGGGCTCTTCCGATCTCCAGGCCTACGATCCAAGAGCCCAAAGGATAAGGAGGCGCACTAAATCTCACATACCGTTGGACGTATTTGCATAATTTCAAATTTATACTTGTAGACTCATTTTATACGCTTTGCAAATAGATGCGATTTGTATAAAGCTATGTAACATGACGAAACTGCTTTTTAATGTATGAAGTATAAAATCTCTTGGTCCGTCCTTTCACGACTATAATAATTAAGCTTTCGTATACCTTTTTATTATTTTGGCTATAAAGAAACGTTTAAGTAATCATCGATTGGACGTTGGTTTTTCCTTTTTTTCCTTTCTGTAAAGGTGTCACGAGCCTCACAGATCGATAGCAGACAGGTGTATGTGTGTTCGTGGTCGGTGGGTCAGCGTGACCAGACAGGTGGGCGGCACAAAATTACTTAATTAACGCACTGAAGCGCACATACCTCAAACTACGCGTCACACTGCCGTCATAATGTTAACCTGCATTGCGATAGCACATAACTCAGTCCCATGGCTGTTAAGAAAATGACAATGTATCTGTGCCTGCATAAATTTATATAACTTTATTTACATCTATAAATATATATATATATATATATATATATATATATATATATATATATATATATATATATATATATATATATATATAGAAATTTGTTGTTGCGAAACTTAGTATATTTATACCCTGAACCCTTTGAAACTGGTAAATCACGGTAAAATGGTTTTGTTAAAATTTGTATCAGGCAGAAGGAGGCGTGGCAGGCCAGACAGGACTGGGGTCAGGGTATCTCCTAGTCGGGCACCGTCTACTAGAGTTTTCTTACTTGTTTAATATTACCTTTAGCTTAACTTATAAATACATGATAAAATGTGGAGGTCACGTGATAGTCAGCCTTAATGGCTGTAATATCGTTTTATCAATGCAAAATTTTGCATTTTAGGCTGATGATTTCATCATTATGCAAAGCAGATACCCGAATTCAGAATTGTGCTACTGATATTGTGATATTTGGTTTGGAATAAAATTGTAATAGAAGTAGTATGCTTATGTTATCTGTCATTATAAAAACTTTTATATTTTATATATGTAGTACTTTGTCATTTTAAGGCGTAAAATTTTACATTTACTAACAAAATTACTGCAAAAAAACATCAAAAAAAATAATAAAAATTTTAAATTTTTCTTATATTAGATGAGTATTAATCTTTTACATTTTAAATGGAAAAAGAAGATAAACGAACAGAGTGGGGACGCAAGTGCAGTCAAGGTAAGAGCAAATATACTTCAGCTAAAATATATATTCGAGTTATTCCTCACGCACGACCAGGATGCCTAATTCCACAACGTGTTGTGGTCGCTTTGATGGGATTTTTAGCTTTAATGTTTGCATATACAAATCGTGTCTCAATTTCTCACGTAATCACCGAGCTTGTTGTGCCTAAGTCGCGTGTCAGTGTGAATGGTACGAGCACCGGAGTGTGTCCGGGAGAAGCTAAAGTCACTAGTACGGGCGAAGCAGATGTAAGTGGACGAAATTTTTGTTATTTATTGGTTCACTTTTAAACCTGGGCATATTCCCTCTGTGACCATAGTACTCCAAAAGGTACAAATGGTCTGAGGAGCTGCAAGGGTTTATATTAGGTAGCTTTTACATTGGCTACTTAATAACCCATCTGCCCGGTGGCATATTAGCTGACCGATTCGGAGCCAAATGGGTCTTGGGCATCTGTATGTTAATCTCCGCCATTTGCACCCTTGCCACCCCCTTTGCCATTACTGTTGGTCACCAATGGGGCTTGGTAGCAGTGCGTATTATAATGGGTCTGGCACAAGGACCTCTTTTTCCATCTGTGACTACATTACTCTCCCATTGGGTACCTAAAAAGGAGCGGGGTACATTGAGCACTATCTGCTACAGCGGAGTGACCGCAGGTACGGTCGCTAGCAACCTTGGCTCCGGTTTCATGCTTTATTATATGCACTGGTCCGCATGCCTCTATATTTTTGGTGCAGGCACTATATTATGGGTACTACTATTTGTGAGTATTTCATTTTCTAACATACGTATATGCTACGAAGCCCAATGGGTGGGCTTGCCCCTATAATATTTCATGCTTGTATCTTGCAGCTCTTAATATGCTATAGTAATCCTTCAAAACATCCCTGCATTCGGTTGAAGGAGAAGGCATATCTAGAGGAAGAAATACCAATGAAAAATGATAAGCCGCCAATACCCTGGAAGAAAATGTTGCTTAATGTTCCATTGATCGCAGCGATTCTAGGTCAGATAGGACATGACTGGGGCTACTTTGTAATGATCACTTGCCTACCGAAGTTTATGGCCGACGTTCTTGGCCTTTCCATACGTTCCAATGGCATCATGACCTCTCTCCCATTCATTGCGATGTTTATTAGCTCTATTTGCTGTGGCATTTTATCCGATTGGCTAGTACGCACGGGGAAAATGTCGTTAAACTTAGAACGAAAACTATTCAACTTTATTGGTGAGTCACTATAAAATGGTTTTATTAAAATGAGTATTAAAGTGTGTAGATTGAGGCGGAACTATGTTTGCAGCATCAATAGCGGACTTAATCCCGCCCTATACGTCCGTCCGTACTTATGTATCTATGAATGGCTTTTCTTGTATTTTATTATAATTCCGGTACGCGCTTATAATTGTTTCAAATTATCGATAACTATTTCCGTTTTATGGTTGATGTTTTACACAATTTTGACTTGGTAGAGGCGACGCTTGTTGCCGAGGGATTCTTTCCATTTTTTATTTCAAGCTTAAAAAGGTAGAAGACATTGGTTCTAGTTCTAGCTTTGTCTATTTTATAATGCTAGATAGAAGTATGGAAAATATTAAACGCAAAGATACACATACATATTTTTAATGTCTTTAATATAGGTGCCTTGGGACCTGGAGCCTTAACAGTCATAGCCTCTTATTCAGGCTGCAACGACAAAGTGGTTGTTGTAGTGTTTGTGCTCGCCATGTTTACAATGGGTGGATACTATGCAGGCCAAAAATTATCTCCGATGGATATGTCTCCTACTTTTTCAGGCACGCTGAACGCCATATGCAATGGACTTGGCTCGTTGGCTGGCTTGGCCGCACCCCCTATTGTCGGATTGATGACACCACAGGTGAGTTGTAGTGAATTTAAATTCAATAATTTAAAAGTTGATACATTGTTTTTCCGCATGATTAATACAATGCAGGCTACAGAGAGTCAATGGCATGGAGTATTTTGGTTGGGCTTAGTTATATTGGTTCTATCGGGAATCATATTTTGGATATGGGGTTCAGCTGATGTACAGCCATACGATCCCAATTACCAATCGAAACAAGCTTAACCAATAAAGAGTTAGTTCTCCATGAATACACAAAATCAGAACCGTACAGACGAAGACCAAAAAGAAAAGAATAATACGTACCTATCCATGTACCTTTTTGAATGTGCGTATAAGAGATGACCATATTTGTACGAAAGGGAGATACAGTGGTAATGCAGCATAATTTCTGAAGACAAATTTACAGATAATTAATATATTCTCTAATTAGTTTCTAGTACAACGTCTATTCTCCCCGCATTCTCCGTATTATTCATCGCAGAGCTATGAATTTAAGTGCTGTATGGGCCATCATTATAAATCGTGTCTCTAAAAGTTATGAAACAATTCGACAGTGATATTAACTGAATTTTATATAACACTACAAAATACAGCAAAATTTTTCGATAGTGATTAAAAATAAATAATTTTCGATATATACATAACAGAACTATTAGGGGTGGGCTAATCGCAAACACAGATAATTCATTTTGGGTTGGCTATGGCTTGATATTGAAGCTAGAGGAATAGCAGTCGGGAAGCCCTCGAATGCATATGACACGAATTGTTTTGGGCACTGTCGGTGTGGCTATTCGTCTGTTCGTTCGACCAACTGCTCACATGAACGCAAGCCAGATTTGGAATATAAGCTCACTAGAGATTCGTCTTATGCATTTGAAGGCTGTCCGGTTGCGCTTACTCAAGTTTCAATTACGGACGGACGGACAAGCAAAAGCATTGACAGATATCAAATATACTCTTTTGAATTGATAGTTTCAATTAAACTCGAATTAAAAATTAAATGAATTGAAAATTCATAAATTTAGAGAAGTATGGCTTTTGATTTGCTTTTGTGTGTCCTGCGAGTGCCATAAAACAATTACCCCGACATGCTTAAAATCGTTTATGCGATTGACAAGGACTACAGGCCGAAAGGACAAAGACTCACACAAGCAAGCTTAAAGCGTAAATAGCCTGCTAAACACCAACACACACATACACTCACACTCGGGCTCACACTCACCCTCACACACACTTGCACGCACATTCGAAGAACTGTTGACTGTCTATGATTTGTGCTGGCAACTTTTTGTTTGCTTTACTTTGGACATTTTCAGCTGTATTTCTGTCAACATTTTGACAATTTGCGTGACATTAAATATTGATATTTGGTAAATATAGATGATGTTCGCTGCTCGCAGCTTCATATAAATGCATTGCATATATGCCCCCATTGACAGCACTCAAAATAAATGATATAAAATTCAGACATATTTCTATTGTATGAAATCTTAGCTACGAAAACAAGATTTATATGAACTTCGTAAGGGAATTGTCTTTTAAACGCTACGGGGACCAATAAAATTCTAGAGTAGCAATAGAGCATACGTGATATTCATCTACGGCTAGCGTAAATGTTTAAATACAATTGAGTACGTGGTATATTTCAATAAAAACTTATCACTAATAAAAAAACCAAACGAAAATAACTATAATCTTCGAAGCGCCGAAGCTTTAACAATCTTGTGGCATACGTTTTTAAATGTTACAGTCAACTTTAGCCGATTAGAGTTTACTTTTATATTACTAATACTACATAACATTATTAGTAAAAAGGCGTATCAGTCTAATGTTTTATAGAAGTTTTGTTATATATTATAAATTGGAGACAGACAGACTTTTAGGCGTATAATGAAATTCACTCTCAGTTCATTATTAACACATATATAAAATATAATATATATAAAAAGAAATTTAGATAACAGGGGATATTGGATATTATAAATTAATTATTTTTCCGATATAAAATCATTTATTGGAACAAACCACTATTTTTGAGGAAATATTCATTAAAGCTATAATATAAAAATAATAATATTGACAGTTAATAAAGTGGATTTTAAACTTACCCTAGTTTCTTATTCCACTTTCACTACATTCCTATCCGATTTTATTTTCTCGCTCAGGTGCAATGTAAGATTTATCATTTTAAAACACTTTAAAAACACTACTTCATACTACGCACAACACTTTATCATTTGTATAATTTTGCTACAGGTAATAGCATAGGATTAATGTTTAAATCTGATATCTAAAACACGCACAGATAATTATATATGTGTATATTATATACAAATATATTGAAATAGACACTGAAGTAATTTTTTAAGCTGTGCATTAAGTTGAGTAGACTATAAATCTGGAGACTTCCGTGAAGCTGAAATTAAAAAATAAGGCAATTAATATATTGAAAGTGGACGTCAATGTTATTATGCATAAAACCCCTAAAACTGCTCAAACTTAGTGGCAATTCCGTATAATTTATTGTAGCTGCATGCGTGAGCGCCGATAACACAAGCGACAACAGCAACTAGCTATTATTATTATTATGATAATAATAATAATGACAACAATACATTTGTCAATGAATAACGGGTTAACCGAAAACATATGTATACATACATAAAGGTGTGTTTATGTTACAGTTAGAATGTTTGTATTTCTGATAGAAGAATATGCTTTTATTTGGTATGTATCCGGAATCTATTGGAAATCAGAATTCAGTGTAAATTGATTTTGTATGTATTATGTAACACGCAAAAGAAGGCGTGGCAGACATTTTAGTGTATATATTCATGTCCAGGACAAAGATTTGAATCGACTTATCTTAGTCTGTGTAGCTGGTAAGGAAATCGATTAAAAAATTTTTCCAAATTTTAAGTAGATGTAGAATTGCAGATAATTTTCATTAATTAAGAAACTTGCGTTAGTGACAAACGTGCTATTTGACTTTGAAGAAGCGAGTTCGAATCCTTTCTTACTTTCAGTTTAACCTTTACATAAGATAGATATATAACTTAAGATAATATATACATATATATGTATATGTATGTATGTCAGGCACACTCGACCAGAACGTATTTACTATCTTCTGTCTTTTGATTAGTTGGTAAGTATTTAAAATATTATACATTGCGATTTTCTTATAAATTGAGAGTTTCTCAACCCAAATTTATATTCAACAAATTTGATTGTTGCTAATGCACAGCAGCATTAAGCAGAGGAACTCCAATATAGATCTATGTTATGACACGATATGACAACTCTGTGTTTTAGTTTATTTACTTAGACAGGATTGCTTTTTTATAGAATGTCCTCGACACATTTTCTTTACGTTATTTGTCCACAGATTAAATGGCTTTACTCTGAATAAACATTAATTTCAGCCATGTGCTATTTAAAACTGAAGATGTTAATATAAAACAACTTTTTAAATAAAGAAAGAGAAATGCATATTGACGGTGGCCATTAAATTTGAAAATATAAAAATAAAATATAAAAAATAAATATGCGTTGATATCAATGACCAAACATTTTTGCATTTACGAGAGCAATTCACAAACTCCCACACCCTCGAACACCCACACAGTCACAAATGATGTGAGCTATGAGCACATTGCATTTATAGCCTCCATAAAAGTGAAGCAGCATTTTTTCGTATTTTCCTCTGGAAAGTCTAACCAAAATATTGGTTTGTGCACATTTCACTGTACCGAGCCAATAAATATATTATTATTATTTTTTTATTATTATATATATTATATTTTAATGTATTTTATAAGTAAACAATAAGAACACAAAAACAAAACTGACGTAATATTGGATCCAAAAATATAAAAATAAACTTTTAAAATGAGAAAACCTTAAAAATAAAAATAACAACATTTTTAAAGTGGAATTATACTAAGTAAGTAAATATATTATAACTATGTTATTTAAATATATACGTTTGTGAATTTTCAACAATCATTTTATATAATTCATCATATATCTAAGCCCAGGCTCTGAAGTCTCCAATGCTAAAGCTCTGAAATCGCCTGTACACATATGTTTTTGATAGTAAGTTTAAACTTACTTACTGCACGGTCATATAATTTCCGTAATAAAACATTGAAAGCTTTCGAACCACTAAATTAATTAATGAAGCTTTAAAAATGTATGCGTCTGTATGATTAATTCATTTCCAGCAAACAGTAAAATTCCAGACAAACCATATTTATGGCCGAGTGTCATAATTTTTGCAAAATGCCAGCCAAAAAATATAAAATTCCTCCCACACAATAACAAGTACAAGAAGCGGACATGTGGGTCAGCAATGTGAATTGGAAAGTGGAAACAACAACAAATGACCAAATGCACACTTCCACATAGCCACGCAGAGGTGTTATGCTTGTGTGCATGTTTGTGTGTGTGAGAATGTGTGTGCGTGTGTGAATGCGAAAGCTTTGTACTTTGTACTTTGTTTGTCACAGTGTAAAATCAATTTTCATGAAACTATGCCACGCGTCGTATGAGTAATCAGCGAGCAAACAAGCAAAGGCAACTACGATACGTATGCGTAGCCAGTGTGCGTGTGTGCGTATGTGTGTGCACGAGTAAGTGTGCGTATTTGAATACGTCCCTATCACAGTGTGAGTGTGAATGTTTATTGTGGCTTTAGCATATTGCAGCACAAACCAATTTAACACTAATTTCAATAAAGCCAATGCGGCATTCGTTAAACACCACATAAAATTTGAAAGCAATAAAAACTATTTAAATATAATTATAGTATGCATTATAAACAAGAAATTAATGTTACATGGATGGTTGATTAATGATTACAAATAAAATATAAAACATTTTCGCAATGCTTACAAATTTGCTCTATGCTTTACTCCTTTTTAGCTCAGTGGGCTAAAAACTTGTGCTAACTTTTGAATATTGGAGATTGGGAAAGTCCAATAAAGACTTGATTTGTATATAAAGACCACATAAATCGGTTGTCCCAATTCGTTCAGACACACATAAATTATTGACAGACAATTCAATTAGATTATTCTTCTGTTCCCATAATTTTCTATGCTAACTATATGATTTAGTGTTTTGTTACGAAGATGTTGAAACATATTCTGGGTACAATAGAAAAACAAAAATGTATAAGAATAATTATAGAAAGATATTAGAAGACACATTAATACGCACACGAATTTGAATACTTATCAGGTGCTTCATTAGGTCAAACGTGCCTAAATTTAATTGAAAGCCGTGATTCTTAAATGTTCCAACTTATAAGTCATATTTAAAAACACAGAAA